GAGATATTCGATAGTAAGTGTGCAGTAGAGTTATGGCATCCACTACTAGCATTCGAGCTTAAGAGGAGTCTACTTTGGCGTATGGTCTCCTTACTGGTTATGAACCTCCCGAAGATCATCATAAAGATTGGTATTATACTTGTCATGATTTATTACAAGTAGAGACGGCCCTAGTAGCACCAGCACATGGATTCGATAGTGTATGGGATTATTATAGGGCAATGAGTGCTGATGATGATGGTAGATGTGAAGATATTGCCGTACCAACCCTAATCATACATGCTGTAGATGATCCTGTTATACATGTTGATTCAGCTGGTCCAAGGTTCAAGGATAGTAGTAATAGGTCTCCATATCTGTATGCAGTCATTACCCCTACTGGTGGTCATGTTGGTTGGCCTCAAGGATGGTTACCATGGACTCAGGGCTTCGGATGGATATCTAATACGGCCCTTGATTTTGCTGAGACAGTTGCGGCTGATAAGTATGCTGATTGATGTACTCATTTATGTTCTCATTGACTGTATCTAGTACGGTTATTAATATATGTGTTATTGTGTTATCTCATCTACAATGTATCACAGTTTTGCCACCTTCGATGATGCCTTTATCATCAATGCCGCCTCGACGGTCATCAGAAGGTAGTAGTCGATCGAGACCCAACATGTCAGTAACCAAGTTCTGGGATGCTGTATCTGCTAACACTCATTCAACTTCCCAAGGTAGTCCTACTATCAAACAAGATCCACGAAGGCGACGACCACGGCCTTGGTGGGTTATAATATCCATCTTGAGACTGTCTATAGAGGCGTGTCGATGGTTAATCATTCCTCTATTGGGGTTAGCACCACTACTAATGAGGCCCTTTACTCTCCCAGCCCTTATAGTATGTCTAGTTTTAGCTACTTATTTGGTGGTTACTGGTGATAGATATCGTCCTAATGGTAAAGCTACACCAGGTATAGAGGGCCACACTGAAGGCACCCAGTTTGGTAAACTAATAGAAGAGCTGCTAGAGTCTAGAGCAAGAGCCTTCAAGCCAACACCATATGCTGCTATCAATGGTCATCTGGCTACTGCTATACCTTATCTTACTTATCATTATAAGAAGCCTAATCTCAAGAGGAGATGGATGTACACTATCGATGGACAATCTGTGGCATTAGATTGGTGTCTTCCTCCTCCTACAGGCAATGTAAAGGGTATAGTCATTGTTTTAGCTGGTATTAATGGTAGCTCTACGGAGAGTTATGTATGTGATCTCATAGAGAAGGCCACCTCCCAAGGGTATGCTGTATGTTGTTTGATAAGTAGAGGGGCGTGTGGTACGACAGTGG